ATGCGGGATGAGCGCTGCATCCCATAGTCGCCTTTGTTTTTTTGTTTTTTTAAATAATATTTATTATTCTTCCAAAAACACTAAAAAAAAGAAGAAGAAAAAAGAAAAAGAAAAACAATACAACACAACACATCAAATTAACAAAACAAGACAAAGACAATAAAATAAATCAAACAATTTCATTATCCCATCTTTCATTCACTTATTTCCACGACCTCCTCACACCTCCCTTTTTGTATTCCACTTCTGTTAATTATTTCAGCAATTCCTTTCCATCTTCCTCTGTTTTCTATCCTATAATTATCTTAACTCATTCTAACCTTATTTTTTCCTTTAATAATCTATTAACCTATCTGTACTTAATTCCTTATAATATTTCTACTAAAGCCATATAACTTCATTTCAACATTTTTCTAACATTCATTAATTTTACAATATTTCTGTAGATAGTCTTTAAACTTTTTCCAATCTTCTTCCACCAACTCCTCTCCCTGGTCTCGGATTCTGCCAGTCATTTCCGCCAGTTCCATGTAGTCCATCAACTTCATCTGCCATTCTTCCGGGGTGGGCAAATCTTGTGTCTTCCAATCCCATAATTGCCTTTGATTGGACTCAAAACTGTCCAGGGGTCATTTAACTTTACCTTACCTAGTATATACATTTTTGTACATCTTAGCTGGAGAACTGCATTGCAAAATACGGAGTAACAATGCCATCCTATGAATGCTTAGTTTAAAAATATGCCTCAGTGATTAAATGGGACTTAACTCCCTAAGTAAGTGTTCAGAGGATTTGAACCTAAGTCTGGACCTCTTCAGCTGTTCAGAATTTGTATCAGGGAGAGGCATAGGTCCATGCAATTTGATCCTGCCCTCTACACCCTTCCCTCCCCACAATGAACAGGCTTACAATCCTCCCCACAATTTTGAACCCATTGTGTGCTGTTCTAGCCCATTGTCTGCATTCTGTTGGCATTTTTAGACACTCTTTTTACATAAAATAAATACTTTTCAATGCACAATAACAGTTCAGAACGTGGACCAAACAAATCTCTACCCAATTCCTAGCCCTAGTTTCTATACCTTTAACAGGGCCTCTGAGGCTTATGACTATCAGCTGTAATTTCAGTATTTCATAAATATAATTGTAAGCCTCATACGATTTCAATATTTCATGAAATGCCTTCAAGGGCTTATATTAGACTCTTGAGGACCTCAAAGTACTGTGTGAAACATAGCATGGCATCCACACCATAAAGTAACCAATATGTAGAAACTGTTCTCCTCTCACTATTCAATCTTCACATTGTGTGCTGTGAGGCAATTTTTCATTTCTACTTACAGTAGGTACACATGAAATTAAAGGAATGCAAAGGTTGTATCCTGTTTGCATGGCAATTCTGGGAAATGTCTGCTGTTTCACCAGCTTAGCTTTACAACTCAGATAATCAAGCTGACCCTGCATAGATGTCTTCTCCACTGTTGCCATCACTGGCCATTCAACCTTGAATGGACTCTTCCTGCCCCTGACACATCAGTCAATGTAAATTCAAGATATAGCTTTATCTTCTTTACTTGCCTGCCAAGAACTGTTTTTCACTCTGATTACAATTCCTGCTCCAGCTCCCCAAAGAGTTAAGATATGTCAATAGTGCCAGCCCAAGATGTTTTGTGCAATCTGCATTAGGAGCAGACTAAAAAGTCTTGCTGAACCATTTAGACACCAATTCCCACCTTCATTTGCACCCAGTGCCCCCTCTCACGGTGCCTGCTAAACTGTACTGTGCTTCATTGCAGATGATGACAACAACAAAACAACAACAATATTGTTTTTCTCAGCCTTTCACCTTGAGGTCCCAGGGCAAGTTACAACAATGTTAAAATATAGTATTGAAAATGGTTAAAATACATAGTAGTAAAAAAGAATAGGGTGGGTCATAAAATATACATCTCAGGTTTTAAAGAGGTTCACCTTCAGAGAACAGTGGAATCTATATAATGAAAGTGTCATGTGCACCTCTGTGGAAAGTGAACCCCACAACTCAGAGGCTGCCAAAGAGAATGCCCTCTCTGGGGCCACCAACCCCTGAACTTCTGAGGGTGGTGGAATTGCCAAGAGGCTCTCCTCTGCTAACACCCAAGAGGGTCTGTAGGAAAGGATATTTGTGGCCTAAGTCATTTAGGGCTTTAAAGACTAATGTGAGCACATTGAATTGGGGCCGGAAACAAACTGGCAATCAATACAGCTGTTCTAAAACACAAAATATGTATGTTCTAAAGGGAACCACAGTAATCAGGTGGCAACAGGGGACTTATTCTCATTTCTGTGAGTTTAACAGCTGGAAATAGTAGTATAGCTTTGACAGATCAAAATACGACCACCAGTGCCCCCAAGCACTTGCCAGTCGTCTTATTAGAAGTTTAATATTACAGAAGCTCAGCCTGGAACAAGCACTATTTATGTAAGCATCCTTTCCCGGAAAACATTTAATACAATATTAAACTGGTTGGGGAAAGCAGAAGAGATTATTTCCAAGGTTTTTGCATGTGGGAGTTAGGGCAGGAGGAAAAAAATCTCACACTGTGGGCCTTTTGGTCACCCATGTACCCCCACTTCAGACATTTTATTATTTGAACAGGAATAATTAGTATCTTGCTTGGTTTTAACAACGAGCAGAAACTATTAATTAACTGAAGCTGACTGGCCCTGCTTGTGATCACCATTGTAGGGAACAAATTGACTAAATTAATAAGACTGGGAGAAGGGAGTCAGCAAAAAAAATGAAGCCTATGTCAAATTCTCTCTCTCTCTCTCTCTCTCTCTCTCTCTCTCTCTCTCTCTCTCTTAATATAGAAAAAGTTAGCACGGGTGGTCTGCTCATTTTTGTTACTGTCCCAAGATTTGAACCCAGGTGACCTAGTTTAAGGCTAACAACCCACTCACTGCATCAGCTTTCCCCAAAACTGGTGCACTCCAGATGTTTTGCTCTACAACTCCTATCACTGCAGCCAGGATGGCCAGTGGTCTGGGTTGATGGAAACTGGAGCCCAACAACAGCCAGTTTGCAGAAGACTACACTGCACCATAACTGCATGCATGATTCTGGTTTGGAGGATTGGAGATGAGTCCTCTTTTTCTCAGAGTGAGGTCTCCAAACCCAGATTACAGACCACCAGTCCTGGTTTGCAGAGCTTGTTGTCAGTTTGTAGAACGGGAGAGTTCAAAGGGAACCCAAGAGTCATCTAGTCCAACTTCCAGCAATGCAAGAATCTAAGCTAAAGCATCCATGGCAGAATGGATGTAATGCAATCTGCATGGACTCTGGACAGTCAATGTGGGAACGGAAGACTGTACAAAGGTAAGAACCCCATCTGTTTCCTCACCCCTTTTGCACCTGGCCTTTGGACTGAGAATGGTTCCCCACCTTTGCTGTGCCATTTTATGATTTTCTGTTTTATGAATCACCTGCTTCGCACAAGTCTCAAGGCAACTGACATGAAATCAACTAAATGTAGCTTTAGAAACAGCACAAAACATGACAACTAAAGAGAGGCTTTAGAAACAATGCAGAATAAACACCTAAGGCAGGGACCTTTTCATTCAGCAGAAAAGTCTTGTCAAAACAAAAAGTCTTCAACTGTATCCACAAAGTACAAACAGCAGGTGCCAGCCATATCTCAACAGAGATGTTGTTCTGTAGAATGGGGGCAGCCACACTGAAAGCCCTGCTTTGAGTTACTGTGGAGCAGGCATCTGATATTTTAGGAACTTCAAAGAGATGCAGGATATAGGCATCTTGACTCGTCCCACTTTACACACTGAGATAAGGGTGAAAATGGGCACATACAGTGGTGCACACATACTGTAGCTCCTCTACGTGACTGGGAACCCTGTTCGCCCAGCGTTCCTGATCACATGGAAGGATCTACATATGTGCCACACTCTACATGTAGAAGAAGTCCAAATGCCATCTTCACAACCACATCTAAAGGCCAAGTCCATCCAGCAAGATCTTGCTTCCTCCCATGTGTAGAGTGGACATGTAGAGCATTCAAGGCAGAGAGCCATATCTGGCTTGTATTAAATCATAGAGATGTGGCTTATGGTGCTATTCTCTTACTGTTTACTGGTAATGTAGCTCTCTCCCACCTAGCATAAAGGAGTTTTAACTTTTGCTCGCATCTGCTGCAGTACTGGGTCATGTGTGTAACCCCAGCTGGAGTTAACAGCTTAATTGCTATAACCTCACTGCCATTTCAGAGTTCAAGTACAGTACCTTCTGAAATGAAAACACTCTCACTTTGTATTATATTTTCAATCTCTCATACTAGAATTCACCCTCCTACCTGGTTAAAGTGAATTACTACTATAATAAATTAATCACAATTCTCTTCCAATTTGCACAGAGAATTTTTATCATAGTATTGTGCTCTTGCAAAGTAATCATACTGCTAGGTACCGTAATTTGCATTGTATTTGATCGTCTAATACAGACTACCATAACAGCCACTTCAGTTTAGTGATTTATTGATAATCACTGTAGTCTTGTTCTGATTCTCCTGTTAAATGAAATTAGATTAGGACTTGTTCCTACATTATCATGGGGCATAACTTCCTAAATAAGAAAGAGGTCTTGCGCAACTTCGAAAGCACTTAGCTTAGACTTACTATGTCCTAGGCTGAAAAAGTTCAAAGGTCACAGACAGATTTTAAGAGTTCTTCTGTAAGCTCTGTGTCCCAACTTGACATCGGGATAATGAAGAGGGAATTCTGCATTGATCTAATTGCAACAGGACTAAGCTCATATCCTCACCATACATTTAAAGCACATGGCTTCCACCAAAGGATCCTGGGGCGTCTTGTTTCACCCTTGCAGAGCTACCATTCCAAGCACCCTTAACAAACTGCAGTTCCCATGATCCTTTGAGGAACACAATGTGCTTTAAATGTATGGTGAGGGAGTGACCGAAGGTAAAGAGACAACTCCTAAGAGGAATGTAGCCAACAGTCGCGTTGGTAGAACATGAGACTCTTAATCTCAGAGTTGTGGGTTCAAGCCCCATGCTGGGCAAAAGATTCTTGCATTGCAGGGAATCGGGCTAGATGGCCCTCATGGTCCCTTTCAACTCTACAATGCTATGATTCTATGATTACCTGGTTGCAATACACACAATAACACTATAAGGCAAGCCAAGATTGTGATTTCTCCTGAGACTGAGGCTGAGACTGAGAGCTTGCTTGGGAGACAGGCACTATCCTGTAAGAAAAACAGAGCTTTGCCACATTTATTTATTTATTCAATATATATTCCACCCTTCCTCCCAAAGGAGACCAAGGTGGCAGTGGAAAGACTGTCAAGATTTATATGGAAAAATTAACTACACCAAATATGTTTTGTACATTTTCTTATTGGACACAAAGGAGCCATGATAGAAACAGTGGTTTCTTGTGGCTGCAGCTCAACCCCTTGAACAGACTAATAAACATGATCTTTATAGACCAAAGACAAGATCTGGTCCATGATTTTTAAAGTCCTGCTGATGTCAAAAGCAACTGTAAAGCAGGTGTTTATTTTTACCCCTTTGGAATAAGTGGGGAATACATGTGTTTACAAGCAGCTGCATTATGCCCATAATTTTTTGCAGATCAGCTTAGCACAAACATCTCTCTTTGTGGGATTTGTTTGCAACCAAATGAAAAAATTGTACTACTGCTGGCACCCAACCCAATTAGATTTTGTCACTGAAATTTAAATTCAGAAATACAAATACAAATGGAGACCATGATAATTTCTGGTGTATCTTTGGGATTTCAGACATTGCATATTTTTTCAGGGGTGTTGGGGAGGAACGTCAACATTCAGCATGTGAAATATTAACGATACTGATAAAATTCCAGGCATCCACTGTAACTTGGATAACAAAGTTGGATGCACAGTGAAACTTGCCTTCTTTACAAATCCTTTATTTATAAGATTTTCAGCAAGAACTCTACAATCTTTATTATTGCTAAGTTGTTAGAACTTCAGACAACTCTCCAGAAGGCCCATGCCTAATGCCCAATATACACCAGGGAACTAAGGGCATTTAAAATCACAATTCAACATTCATTGCTAGAAAACAAAACAAAACAAAAATACCTATCAAGGGAAATCATTTTCACAGCAACTAGCATACTGCAAAATACTTGGAGAAGACACAATAGCATACTGCAAAATTTGCCTTTTGTTTCCTTTTTAACTTGTGGAATTATATTGGAAGGGTGTCTTCTGTTTGAATAATATAACCCTGAATGCAATAGTTCAAAATTGCCTCCCTAATAGGGTGACATCTAATGAGTTCATTAAACTCAAAATTATATGTAATATTTATGGATGTTATTGTCAATGAACCAAAACAAGTAGCATTAAAATCATGGAGCCATAAACTGTTATAATGAATAGTGATTGCTGGAAGGTGAGTTATCTGTGCTCTGATCCATTTATAAAACTGCAATATATTCATAAGAAAAGAACAGTTCACTTCACTGTTTCAGAAGGGAATTGAGCAGCAGCACAGAAGGCTTAGTAGCAAAAAATTCCCCATAATAAATGTGTAATGCTCAAATGCTAAATAGAAATGCTTTAAATTAAAATCTTTCTCTGCAAGGTTAATTGCAATATAACATTTTCTCTTTTATGAACAATTAAGTAATTGTGAAATGTGTGCATGTAATTTCAATGTCATTGTCTTTCACCACCAGTTGATATGGGGAAAACTGTGTATAGAGTATAACTTATTCAAAACGTAGCATCTTTGCCTTTTAGCATCCATGCACACTAATAATGATGCTTTTCCAAACAGATATATAGAGGCCAATGACTGACATATCAGTTCCACCTGAAGTATTCTGGAGCACCATGGCTTCACTTTGCAAAAGTTTCCGGGGGGCTGTAAAGGCTACAGGAAGTTTCGTTTGCTATGAATTTGTTTGATCCTCCGTCATCTCCCTAGATCATTGGACAATGTTCACAGGATGATCGGAGCAAAAGGACTGCCTGCAGATTTCTTCTGTAGTCTCCTTCTACCCTGCTGGCACTCTTTTGTACCGCACTGGGAAACAAGGTGAATTGCTTGTTTTTTCCCTTCTACCTTGATTCCAAACTAAATGGTTGCCTGAGGGGTTCTTTGAATATTTCATTTGCCATCTTCATCCAGACTTCTACAGTGCGGCATTTTGTTGCCGGTTCATTTATTGTTTCTTTTGTAATTGCAGTAATCACACCAATTTTATACTGTACACCTGTGAAAATGTCTTGTGACGCCCCAGGGGGAGCTCTCCTACAGAAACCTCTCTACTTTCAATGCCACAACTGGCAGGAAATGTGGAATCCATGTGGATGCCTCCTCCACCATATCGCATGGGCCCCATATCGACAGAAATGACTGCTGCTGGGCTGTTATCTCTCTCTAGAATAGATGGTTGGGTATCATTGCTGTTGGCTATCTTGAAAGATCTCTAATAGCACTGACTGCTGTGCCTATTAGTGCCTGCACATTCTCCCTTAGAATCCTGGCAACACAATACCATCCGAGAGTTTCTTATATATGCAGTTTCTCCCATTGCAAATGTTACTTGAACTGAAAGGATTGCAACCAAGGCCAAACCCCTTGTGCTTATCAGCCACAGACAGGTTTCCTAATAGCCCCAGATCTTCTGGCCTCCCCAGATTAATGCTACTGGTGTGTTCTTCCCTTGCTTAATTTGCATGTGGCGACTCTTCTCTAGGCTACTTGTGTAGAATGACAGTGTGACTAATAACTAGCTTCTAATGAGCAACCCTTCAATGCAGCCATGCATGGTTGATTGTACTGTATCTTCTGAAGAAAAAATGATTGACTGGAGTAGCTAGAGCCTCCTACCTTCTCTTTTGTAGACAGCAATCCCCATACTTCAGTGGTGTTTATGAATTCTAAGTGTTTTATTGTATCATTAACATTTTCCCAGGAGTGCATTTATTTTTTATTAACAAAAAATACCACTCATCTCACTTCTCCTACAAAATGGGGCTGACTGGACAATGTTTACAAGATGTTTTTCAGGATTTTACTGGCTAAGATACAATGGGGGAAATCTGTGGCTCTCCAGATGTTGTTGGACTGTAACCCCTACCATCTCCAATCATTGCTTATTCTGATAGGAGTTGGAGTCCATCATATTTGGAGAGCCACAAGTTCCCTATCCCTGGGCAAAGGTATACTTTCCTAGGAGGGAAATATTCGCTGCTAGTAATGGATGGAGGACATAGAGAGGTGTGCAAATGTGCACAGAAACTAGCCTACTACCCACCTTTGCCTCTGCACACCTCTCTCTGTCCTCCATCCAGAATTTAAGGGCACATTCCAGCTATGCAAAAGTACTAAAGGACAATGTGAAGTAGGGCCATTGAGAGCTATGGTCTGAGGGGAAGTGTCATGAGGGCCTGATAGAAAGGCTCAGAGGGCCACGACTGGCTCCTGAGCCCAAGCACCCCCAACACTGTGATAAATTGTATGAACCTTCCCATCCACAAAGGTCTTGGCCTAGAAACGGCTAGCAAGCTGTGACACACTGCTTATGGGAATTGTTGTTCATGTGCCTCTGGTGCAGGTGCCACTCTCCAGACTTTGTGTTCCACCCATTCCCATTGGAAGCTTGGTGGATTATGTGTAAAAGCAGGATGTAGCCTTCATAGAGGTAAACACCATGATAGACTTTCAGCATTTAGTCAGCCCAAGCATCACTTTCTCGCACCGTAGTTGTTGCTGTCACAAGTGTTTCAAACATAAGTGATATGCAACATATCACTTTTTTAAAAAATATATTCTTTCTGACCTAATAGAAGGATGAATAGAGTGCTTAGAATTAAAGGGAATAGAATAAGACTGCTGGAAAGAAAGGGACTAGAGATGTAATTATCATCTGAATGGGGGTACTTGCCCTGTTTAAATGCACAGGCAGAACTGAGGAGAGCAGACACTTGCTTGCCTTAATCCTGCAAATGCTGCCTCCTGCTCCAAGAAACCCTACTGGGGCACAGGAGAGATGCAAGCAGCAATGACAGATACTTCCAGGCTTTGATGGAGCATCTCTCCCCCTAGGGATAGCACTACTAGTCCCAAAACCCAGTGGGATTTATGCTAGGCATGCATCACACTTATTGCACTTGGGAAATGATGTGCTTTACACTTTACTGTGTAAATTTGCTGTTGGAGTTTCTGGAGCTAGTATCTCCAGTTCTGCTTGCATCTATGGAGGGAAAAGATGTTCCCCCAGGGGAATACCTGCTGCCTCTCCCTTCCTCTCCCTTGCCCCTCCTTGCTCAAGGTAAAATACTGGGTTCTTGGTGCAGGCCGCCCTGAAGTACAGCAGACAATACTTGGTTTGCGAACACCCTTCTGCCCTGTCCTGTCCTTGACAAAAGGCCATGAGGCACAAAGGGAATAAGGTAACAATGGTAGTCTAATAGTTCCAGCACCCTGGACAGCTCCAAGTGCGCAACATCTTCGCAAATAGTGTAGGATGGGACTGAAGCTTTTATTGCTCCACAACCTCCACCTAGGCTCCGCCTCTTCCCTGAAGAGTGGAAAGTCTTAAAGGGGCAGATGCCTGGCTCCTCCTCTCAGACAATTCCCTCCCAGCTTGCTGCCTGGGTTGATGGACCAACATGGGGGAGCACTGGATCTCTAGAGTGGAGCACGATGGTTCTGGCAGGGGTTCCAGTAACTCTAAATTGATTGGCTCAGACTTTAACTCAGGCCCAGTTTTTATGCTAAGACTTTTGCCAGTTTCTAGCATGTCTGCCACCCATGCTATTGGTCTGCTGAATCTGGTTTCTTCCTCCTCAACTGAGTCATAGCCCAGGCTGCTGCTCAGGGTGGAGGGTCCTGACACCTGCAGGCTTTTTATGAGCATTTGATTTGATCCATCACAAAGGATCAACTTCCCTTTTGGGGGTAAGCAATGGAAAGCTCATATATCCATAGAAGGGACAGCCGCTGGAAAACCAGAAGGAGGCCACGTGATGACAGCACAATCTAATTTGAGATATCT